AATTAACAGAAAGGATATTAAACGGTCACTAGGATATGCAGGGGCTCGGGAGAAAAACTGAGTCTACCTGTCAGGATCTCCCCCCCGAGCCCCTGCATAAGCTAGTGAATATTGAATATCCTTTTTAACAATAAATAATCTACCCGGATTTATTTGTTAATTTAGATTCGTTTCGAGCGCCGATTCCTACCGTTCCAAACGGTAGACACACCTCAGCCGATGTATTACGGACACTACCAAGAGTTTGTAGACATGTCCAAAGCCAAAGACGTAAAGGTAAAGCAGCATTAATATCTTATAAGGACGAGATAAAGGAATAGAATAATTGTGTTTTTTTGTAGTGTTTTTCCCCTCCTTTAAATTTCCCAAGTCGAACTGTTGTCTGCATGCTCTCACGGGGTAGTTGCTATATCATGGTATATTAATGAATGTTGCGTGATGATAATGAATTTGATAGTGTTGCAATGAAGATGGTGATTAAGGTGATTGAAGATGATGGTGAAGATTGCTGCTGGTGGTTGTTGATGGTGATGATGATGATGATAATTGATGGTGATGATTGATAATCATTAGTGGCGAAGTTGATAGTGGAGCTGAGGATGATGATGATTGTGATGATGATGGATGGTGACGACGATGGGGATGATCGATGGTGATGGTGATGAAGATAGTAGAGGTGATATGGTGATGATGATAATGATGGTGGCGATGGTGGTGATGGTGATGATAATGATGATGGTGATGATAATGATGCTGTTCAACAACCCTATGTCAAATAATATTCTATTTTAATCATTTCAGGCCCGTGATCTTTTCGTGCTCTCTGCCAACTTATTCCATCAAGCAAAGTTGATCTTTGATATGGTTTCAATTTCACAGGAAGAGGTATTGTTTAATGTTCTTTGTTTCAAGGCTACCTTTTAAATCTGCATACTATTTGCGCATTCACTTTACTTTTTTTTTTTTTTTTGCGCGTCTTGTTTTAAAACATTATTAGGCCCCAGAACTGATCCCCTGGGAACCCCAATTCCCCCGCTCGGGCCTCATCTACACAAGATCCAGTAATTGCGGGAAAATTAAAATCATCAACGCTGCTACAATGAAAATTCCCGGCGTGTCCATCTTGGCGCAGCACGGCACCGGTGCGTTAAAGATGCTTTTAAGTCAAACCTGCCGTTTTCTCGCTTCCCAACAGGTTGCGCTGGTGCTCAAAGTTTCTAAAACTAACCTTGTCGTGATGAAGTTGGCTGCAGGCGGCCATAAGCAGGAATCGTTAGTAAGTATTTTAATCATTCAGTCATATTGCTTTAGATTGCGTTTCTCTTGGTCAGCAACCAAGGAAAGGCGAGCCTGAGCTTCTTGTTTCCAGCACCAAGGAACAGCGAGCCAGTGCTCCTCGTGGCCAGCATCAAGGGACACTGAGCCTGCATTTCTTTTGAGCAGGAACAAAAATGAATTGAGCTCACTTTCCTTGTGGCTAACGAGGATCAACGAGCCTTCGCTCCTTGTGTCCAGTCCAACCTCGAGAAACAGTGAGCCTGCGCTCCTTGTTTCAAACACCGAGAAACAGTGAGCCTGCGCTCCTTGTGTCCAACACCGAGAAACGGCGAGACTGCGCTCCTTGTGTCCAGCACGAAGGAACAGTGAGCCTGATCTCCTTGTGTCCAACACCGAGAAACGGTGAGACTGCGTTCCTCGTAGCCAGCACGAAGGAACTGTAAGCCTACATTTGCCATGCTCAGGAGGCTGGGATTCTGGAATTCTCTCGTATTGATTTTACTTGTTTGTTCTCTTTTAGAACGTCCCAACATTTGAGTTCTCTTCGCACCGTGCGTTTCCGATCATCCGCCTTAATTAAATAATACTCTTTGGAATTTATTTTTATTTCATTCGATGAAAAAAAAAACACTTTTAACTATTTAAATATTCTGTGAAAAGAAACGAATGAGCTATCCTATCCCCACGTTATTTTATTAACTCTTCTTGACCTCTCGTCAAGTTAAGAACTGATCTCCCCTAAGAGGAGATTTTATCCGGCTTGCGTATCGCCGGGGAAAAACAAACACACTTACACTCAAATGGCTTCTCGATTCAAGCGCTGTGATTGGACCGTGTGCGCGATTGCGTGTTTTGATTGGTCAAGATCAGAGCTGTAAAAGTCGCATTACCATAGTAATGTGGAATACAATAAAAGTCTTTTCTTCAAATCTTTATACGCTATGAAATGGAGAAAATGTACACGCGAATTCTATTGTAAGAAGATATATTTTGTGTACTTTATTTTATGGCGAAACTAAATAAAAAATCATGTGATTTGAAACTACAAGTAAACTTCTCCAAAATTTTCATAATTTTTGATAATTTTTTTTATCCTTTTTTTATACCACATAACACAACACATATTTAGTGAATTTGACTTAACAATCATTATTTTACAAACATTAATGAGTTTGACTCCAACATAACGAGTTCATTCATTATCTGCTCAGGTTTTTGGGTTGCGTTTAGAAACAACAAACGCGATGCATGACGGTATAACCTCGTCACAGAAACATCTATTTTTCTATATACCATATATGGTATTGTTCCTACCACAGCTAAACCAAGATGTAAAGAAATATATTGGGCATGTTTTTGCGCCATCTTCCTCTCAATCAAAATTGACAGAATGTACTTTTGCAACGTTGCGCGCAACGAACTGTGTCGTGAGAAAACAAATTTGCAATTTTCTGACCTGGCAATAGCTTGATGCTCTCATTCAATAAAATACGAGTATTTGGTGTACCACTAGCCAGAACACTGTGATGTCTGTTGGCTCAGAGATTTTAAAATCCATTGTATCAAACGAATCGCCAATTGTCGCATTTTCTTTAGTTGCATACTTGTGCTTTAAGCAAATCCTCTTTCGTTTGTAGATTCAATCCGATTCAAACGTAAATTTCTTCAAAAATGAAAACCGCTTCATAGTCTGTTTAACCTTTCTTATCTGTTCTTTCGTCCATACTACATTCTTCCTCGTATTTGATGGCTCCTTRAATATAATCTTAATACAGTCCTCAAGGTATCTCTGACTGCAAGACAGCCCAAGAAACTTGCAGATTCCTTTGAGTGTTTCCTTTGGTTTTCTGATCAGCTCTATGCTTTGGATTTCCAGGAGATTTTTCTTGTACTTCTGTGATAGGAATTGATTCCTTGCAGCTAAGCTAAAATACTTGAAGATTTCTCTTTCGAGGGCCTCTGTGTCGTTCAACTACCAAAAAAATAATAATTGGAGAAATTTCAAACATCTTCAAGGAGGCATACAGTCAAAGCTAGTGTGGGATCGGAATGAACTAGAAAGAGACAACTGTCGGTCTCCATAAGGTTGGGTGGGGTAGCCAAAGAAGGCTACGCAGGCTAAGGAAAAGAAATGCTCACGAGGGCACTGAAAGGACGGCTTCTCTGCACAAATTTAAAGTCATATTTAAAACTATATCGGCTCAGCGAAGATGTTACATACACCTAAGAGAGCCCGAATCTCCGCAGTTGTTCACGAAAAGGTAAAAAAAAAAACACCCTTCTACTTCGGCTGCGGCTACGGCTCGTATTGATGGTTTTCACGGCGGCCATGTTGGAGGAACTTAACAAAAGAATTGTCAACGAATTCTTTTGTTATATCGTCCAACATGGCCGCCGCCGTAAGCTTATTCTTTCGTGCTCTACAGCACCAAACATTTTTACATCACAGTACAAAGACAATAGGCCTTTTGCAGCTCAGTAATCACGTGCTGATTAATTCACTGACAGCAAATGAATGAACATCTTGATTCCCATGTGTGGAATATACTGGTGAGCAAACAAACTTTCTACAACCTGTTTGGAGAGATCGTAATAAAACTGCATTTCGTGACACACTGGTTACACATCCATTCATTCGGTTCTTTACAAGTAGCTAAAAAGAATCGCCAATTTAGAATAAAATAAAAAATTTTGCTTACCAGTACAGATACGYGACCGTTAACTGCAAAGGGCCTTATTACGAGCCATTTCGAGGTTGAGGGAAAAACTGGGTCGAGTTGTCATCGTAAGGCATTGTGTGCTGTCTTAGAAGACATATTTTCAAGATGACGGCCATATTTAACCCCTAAAATAGCGCTAAAATGCACTGCAATGCTAACTCGACACAGTTTTTTCCCTCGACCTCGGAATGGCTAGCAACTTTCCTAAGCAGTTGTTGTTACTGTGGTCACGCAATGCTGGAGAAAACGTTGCGTGACCATACTAAAGCGACTACACGTGCGCAGACCAGTTTTACCTTGAATCCTTGGCTCATCGATACCCGTTTGTGTTTAGTTCTCAGTAACATCGTAGCAATGTTATCGTAAGGGTTCCTCACAACGTGAAGAAACTTGAAGGGAATTTTAACAGTCTTCATGATTTTCTCCATGACTTCCATGCGTTTCTTCTTGGCGAGCAATCTTGTGGTTTTCCCACCCTTCTTTGCTCCAATCACCTGAAAAAAATTGACCATCGATTTTAGATCGCAGAACCTAACACACTAAATTCCAATTCGATATGTTTGATAGCCGTGCCCTGAGTCGATCACATCTGAAGTTTCTCTCAGGCCCCGTCCACACCTTTCCGGAAATTTTTGTATCCGCAAATTATTTTTTGCGGATACGAAAATGTTTGCGTCCACACGCAGCGTATTCGAATCGTTTTCACCGTCCACACGTATCCGCTTTCGTAAAATTTGCGGATACGGRCACAAAAATTTGCGGACACGTGTGGACGCAACCAGTATTCGTATAAAAAAATTTGCGGATACAAAAATTTCCGGATACGTGTAGAAGAGGTTGCGCGCATTGAAATATTCACCATTTTCCAAACATTGCTTCACTGGTCAAACACAAAGCATTCAGTCGAGGTTGAAAAGTTCAATTTTGAATAATCCTTTGAAAGTACCTCGGCGCCTCGCTTGAGGGCTTTGTGTTTGACCAGTGAAGCAATGTTTGGAAAATGGTGAATTTGCGACGCAAAGCGCAAGTGCGGTGCCAGGACTAATTACGTACGCGTTATTTTCCCGCCTTACTTGTCTTGTAATGTCATTGCGCTGCATTTTACAAGATAATTTAGCGAGGTACTTTCATTTGTTAAATCAAACGCTCCTAACTTTTCCCCCTCTTAAGGTATATCTTTTGATATTAAAGACCTTTAGCACCACGTTCTTGCTAGCCCCTCAAACTGCAATTCGACGTCAGGCGTTTTCCTTCAAATTTTCAACATTTAGCAAGGTGTCATAATGAAATTGTTGCTGGACGAACCGCCACATTCTCCGTGTTTGCGGGCGTGTTTCTGGGCCTGATCTCTAGCAGTTAGCGGTAAACCTAATGATAAGAGTCTATGTATTGATAGAAAAATATGGCGTTTCCGTAGATCGAGTAAAAACTAACCTTGCCACATTTTGAAGATTTAAAAAAATGTTTTATCATATAATTATCCATAAAATACCTATATTTCTTCTTTTCGAAAAACTGATATTTTCACATGTGAAAATAACATGTTATTTTCACATGTGAAAATATCGTTTCCATGAGTATTTAAGCTATTAGTTTATAAATAAAAACTTTTCGAAAAACTGATATTTTCAAAAATAACATGTTATTTTCACATGTGAAAATATCGTTTCCATGAGTATTTAAGCTATTAGTTTATAAATAAAAACTTTTCGAAAAACTGATATTTTCACATGTGAAAACAACATGTTATTTTCACATGTGAAAATATCGTTTCCATGAGTATTTAAGCTATTAGTTTATAAATAAAAACTTTTTATAATAATAAAAAGCTTGTTAAGTTGATTTTATGGATAATGATATGATAAACAGAGTATTACATGGGCGCTTGGAGATACGAAATTTATCTTCTCGTGTTGAAAATCTCTCACTCGTTCGCTGCGCTTCACTCGTGAGAGATCTTTTCAACACTCGAAGATAAATTTTTCGTATCTCCGCGCGCCCATGTAATATCCTCTATTTCTTACATACCTTCAAAGTGTCTTTAAACTTCCCCTGCCATTGTCCAGGAACATTGTAATCGAACGGACTGTCATCTTTCGTTTTCTTTGATCTATAACCCTTCTCGGCCTCCATTTTGGAGTTTTTATACAACTGGTCAAACAAGAAATACTTGTTTCTCTGGTATGGTTTCCACTTTTCCCATCTACCGATGATGTCGAACTCGTTGGCGATGATTGCATGTGGATGTGCGTCGATCAGAGAGCTCACCAGTGTATGGCCGCTTCTTGGGTATCCAATGAATACCACGAAGCTCTTTACTTGGTCATAGACTTTATTGCTCGCTAGTGATTTGCCGCCAATGACAGAGATTTTTCCAGCTCTTCTTACTGCATCGGCTGTGAGTACAAAATATATCGTTCATCGTCTAGAGAATAAGACTAATACTTTTAAACTTTATGCAGAGCCAATATTTTTGTTTCTGAAGAGACGCAAGTGAGCATGCGCAGCTTATTTTCTCTGTCGATCACCACGAATCAATTTTCTATGCAACTTTTCTCCTAAAGGCGTTGCGACACAAGTTGCATGGAGCATTGCAGCGTGTAACCTACAGCGCAAAATGCGAAAAAAAATGCTGCGATACTACATGGCAACGATTGCGTAACGAAACGAAACACTCTTGCAACTTGTGTTGTATTAACGCAGTTGCGAGACAAGTTGCAGGAAAAATTGTTCCGTGTAATCACGCCTAAAACCGAACACGAAGTGGTAACACTTCTGATTCAAGTCGAGAAAAATTCTACCTTTAACTGGATTTATCTAAGATTATCCTTATAATTATTTTTTGTTAGTTTAAAAAATTAGGACCATACTTCCAGACATCGAGTGCTGAACCGTCGTATGGCAGGGCGAAGCATTTACTGCTACGCCGGAGATTTCGACCCCGACACCGCTATCCCTGGATTTACAGACTGATCAGGAAGCTCGGCCGAAGCCTAAGGGAGATGTTAGTCGGCCCCTAGACCGTAAATGATAAACCCCTTGCTATGACCAGCAGACCCAAAATGTCGTTTGTGTCGCCGATGACTAAGAGCCCATAGTCACTACTTTCCATGTGGGACACGTTTTCGAAAACTAGCCGCGACGTATCGACATAAATAAATGCACGAAAACGATCGAGAAAAGATTTCTCGGTTTTCCATCCACTTGGCCTTGGCTGTTAGGGCGTTTTTGGATAAGAAACAAATAAAGTTTCGTGTGTCAAAAATTAACGCATTCTGCGGACAATGATGACAGAATGTTATCAACTTTTGTGTCAAAATTCAAAGGAATGTTTCTGCTAGAGTTGTCTGGGCTAATACAATGTTGAAACCACAAAGGGACAGATCGATACGACAGCATCGCAAGACAACAAGCAGAGGAGACCAGATGTCCCAAGCTTCAAGCAGCTTGCTGAATAATTAAAATTCATGGCCAACAATTAGTTTCTGCTTCTTGAAAAAGAACTGATTTGGGGAAAAAAAGCTGAATCGTAGCTCCGGAAACTTTGGGTAAAACAAACCAAGAAGATTTTGACAGCTTGATACAACAACCTTTCATATTTCCCAGCTAAAATTAATTTTTAAAATCCAAGCCGAAATATGTAAAAAAAAAAATTCATTTTTACAGTGCAGGATATTTTAAGTTCAAATTTTGAAATAATTTGTTGAAAATTTTCCAAAATTTCCCAGCAACATTTTCACAAAGCACTTTGAGTTCTGATCATATTTTTTTGGTCCAAGCGAAAGCAATGTCTGCCGTACGCCAAATGTTTCAAGTATTTTGAAAACAATCATTATTAAGGAGAGGAATACAAT